AGCCCAACACAATGATCCAACGACCTAACCCCGAACCCACGTTTGGACGATGAGTATTTTGTTGGGTTTTGATTCGGTTTTGACTGAAATGAGTTGTCTATATTATCGTATTAACTATAACCTCTATATGTATGACACGTCTTTAGTATCAAGCTTGGTGACGTAAACATGGTTGATGATTGATGAATGCTGATATATGTGATTCGAATCGTGGTGCATATTGCTCGGGATGAATAACATGATTGCTTAGATAGCTAGTGCCAAGTTTGTCGATTGATCATGTTGTCGAGTGAATTTTTTTGTTGTTTATGAGATTCAAGTGAGCATCAGGTCAGTTTCCCTATTGTACGGAAAACATCTTAATCCGGCCACTTCCTCATCAACATCGATCATTGCCTCATTGGCATTCCCAATCCCCGTCCTCTGAAACATTACTATCAGCTAGCTCATCCAACATTACACAAAATTGAGTAGGTTCTTCATTGTTAACTTGGGTCGCCTCATCTGTGGCCTGTTCTTGGGTTTGGAGGAAACTATGCATACCAGAGGTTCTGGGTAAGGATATAAAGATATTTCTGCCATTATTTCTAAGCTGCGCTTCCTATGGATTTGTTTCGGTTTTTTTCTTCTTTTCCAAGTGATGACAATATATAGAAAGAAAATCATACAATCTATTCGGGAAACCTCCAAAAGCAACACCTCAGTGTCAGTGAAGTCGCCCTACAAAGTTGAAGAAAAATAACTCAAGAAGAGACAATTACAGGACTTTATGCTCAACTTAAGAGGATCTCTTTCGCCTTATTTATATAGAGAGAAATGGTTCTAGTGTAGTTAAGGCACTAATATAGGCCTTATATGAAAAATGATCTATTGCACGTCCTGATTCCTGAACCCTCTAATGGGTATGTGGCTTGCGAAACCCTCTGACGTCATCATTCCCTTTGCAAAAATAGTTTTCATTAGACATGACAATCAGGTCGGGTTGGGTAATCTCATGTTGAGAATCTCGGATTACGAATCGTCACGGGTCCGATCATGTTGGGTTGGTTGATTTTGAGTCAAATATTAACCCAATCCATCGAGTTTCCAATAACATTTTGGGTCATTTCGGATTATGAATATTCTCATAATTAACAAATAATTTGCATAGCACATATCAATTAACAAATACTCAAATCCTTCCATACTAATGAAAAGAAATACACATTGCACAACTCGTCAAAAAACAATCACAAAAATAATACTACCACACAAAACACACCACCCAATCTGATCCTATCAATCACTTTCACCAAGAAGACCAACATCTATATTCAACTTGAGGCATCGTGTTGGTGATTTTGTCCATTGTTTGCATAACTGGATTGCAACATGCATTTTGAGGTCAGAGGAGCGCTGAGCCTCGAGGTATAATCATCCAACTATTTATTCAGCCTTTGGGAAATCTCAAATTTTCCAATTTTGAACTATTTTTATTTTGATTGTCGAGACATATTAATCTATAATTTCACCTTAATGAAACATACCACTATACACAAGCTAATTTTAAGAAATTCGAACTTGAGATATCCATGTTAAATACTAGCGGGCATTACCACTAAATCAAGTTTTTTTCCCCTAATTTGAAAAACCAGAGCACATTCTAACTCGTAAAAAGTTGTTCAGGAAGAACATGAGGTATTAGACCCAACCTTTCAAAAAAAAAAGGTATTAGACCCAAAAAGAACATTAGGTAAGAATTATACAATAACTTATACACCGGTTAGAAGAATCAAAATTTTCAGAGGTTGCTTGCTGAGAGTGAATTGTAGCTAGCCCCTAATTTGTAAAATTTTTTATATGTTTAATCTAATATTATTTTTTCCTAGGGTTCAAAGTAGGTCGATATCAAGAAATTATCCCCACATGCAATTGTAAAATACATACCTGTACACCTAGTAAGTTTTGCTATACTAGATCATGAATTAACCAAAATTTACGACATAATACTATACCCCTAACCATTAATAGATAATCTCAGTCTTTAATTCTTTGTACTAAAATCATAAAATAAATTTAATCAAAATATAAGAACCGTGGTAATACATCTCATATATATGTCAACGCGCATACATATATTAATTAAACGCTATGTAAAATACATGCTATAACATACTAGTCTAATGTGAAATTCCAACCATATATTAAACCACAAATATCAATTACCAGACATAATGAGCTAAACCGGTATAACGAGGGTCGATTCTCTGCCTGATCTTGTTGCGCAGAAAATACAAGGCTGCCGGAAAACACACAAGCAGTTGCCAGTACACGCGCCGCCTCGTGGCCTCCAAATCGGCAGGGTCGTGGATGGAAGACTCCGACGAGAGCGCGGTACCGATCGCGACGAGGCGGAGCGTGAGGGCGACAGTCGCCGACGCGAACACAAAGAACGGAGACGGCCACGAAAGACACCTGTGCTCGATGGTGAGGGAGAAACCCGGGCGACGAGAGATACGATTATTATAGCGAGGGTTGTCGGCCGGAGTTGGCGGCGGAGATCTTCTTCTCTGCTCGATCCTCCTGTGCAGAAAATACAAGGCCGCCGGAAAACATACGAGCAGTTGCCAGTACACGCGCCGCCTTGTGTCCTCCAAATCGGCAGGGTCGTGAATGGAAGATCCCGACGAGAGCGTGGTGCTGATCACGATGAGGCGGAGCGTGAGGATGCTAGTCGCCGACGTGAACACAAAGAGTGGAGACAGCAACGAACAATACCTCCGATCCATGTTCTGGGAGAGTTATGCGGGCGAGAAGAAATTAATTAGCTGCTAGGGTTTGGCATTTAGAAGTACCCGCCAAATCCTTACTTATACTAGTCACAGGAACTTATCAGGGACAATTTCTTCTATTAATTTTTAATAGATTCATATCATTTTTCTTATGGAAAACGGAGACTTTAATGGATTAATTTTGTGATGGATTATTTTTTTAATTACTAATTTATCCTCCTATTTTATTTATATGAGTATGTAATATCGTATTTTATTTAAATATGAGTTCATCATTTTGTTTGTAATGTCGCATTTTATTTAAATATATGTTATTTGTTCGAATAAACTATAAACATTTAAATGTTGATGTATTTAAGTATAATGATTTTTTATTTTATTTGTAACATAGTATTTTATTTAAACAAGGGCAATAAGGTCAATTGTATTTCATAAACCGATTTGAAAACCTTACACCGCTTTAAATGCATGTTTGTCAACTTTGAATACTTCTCCGACACCTTTGAGTATTGTCACGACCCGAACATTTCGGGTCGTGACAGTACTTGCTCGACGACTATAAATACGTATTCATTTGTGTGGAATGCTTATTAGAAACTTTTGAATACTGGTTCGACACTTTTGAATACTTCTCTGACTATCTGTAAGGGAAAAAAAATATTAATCTCTCATACTAATATTTATATACTAATATTCATATCCTCTATCCTCTATTTCTAGCCATGTGGCATGTGATTAGGAGGAATTAGTGCTATGTGGTTTTTTATTGGCTGATGAGTATGGAGAAAACCCAAAATTCATTGTCCTTAATGGTTTTCGATAAGAGTAACGTATTGTATGATGTCGGTTGAATATTGGGTACATGAGCAATATTTATGGTTCATATTATCAATCAACTCAAGTGATACCGAATCTCGTAAAATCATAAAGTGTAGACAATTAAGTGATGGGTTACGTTGTAGTCGACGATGAAAACAACAGGGAGGAAATGAAGTCTCGAATCAGATTCCTTACTCTTTGAAGATTCAAATTTTATTTTTTTTTTAGCATTTTGCGATTTTAAACCCTAACCGCGTGAGTTCAAATTGATCGTCACACAAACCAGTTTAAAAGCATACTACGACTCAAATTGCTAACTTATTGGTCTGGTCTGACAAATTTCTTTAGCCGAAAGGGCTTTCTCTGCGCCACTTTTTGTACTCTCTATTTCTGACTTCCTCAATTCGAACTAGACATGGCAATGGGTAGACCCTTTATGTTATTTGACCCAAATGCCATGATCCATATGGGTATTGGGTCGGACCCATATGCACTTCTAATGATTTTGGGTTTGTGTTGGGTTTGAAATGGGTCTTATTAGGTCAATACATTTGTTATACCCAAATGGGTCTATTGGGTCTAGATAATTGTAACACATAAATAATATCAACTATTCCGTTAGCTACTTTCAATCCAATTGTACACCTTTAATGTATGTGTTTTCACCTTTCAATATCATTCATAAGAAAAAATATGGCAAAAATTGCATTATAATTAGATACGGCCATTTTCTTGTACAATACTATGAGTCCAATTTAGATTGAAACTAAACAACTGGTTATAGATATACCCAAAAGAAAATTTACTTAAGTTGAATTTGAGTAATACCCAAACTTTAAAACTCATTTGCCATCCCATTCAAACGCCCAAAAGACGAACCGACCTTGATCTTCAACTCAAGTTGAAGTAATTAATATTCAAACTTCGTAGTTAGAGCATCTCCATTGGAATTGCAATTAGAATTGCATTAAGACATGGCATTCATTTGCAATTGCATTATGCAATTTCATTGATGTAGATGACAATTGCATCTTTGCAAGCTTGCATATAATGCAATTATGGAATGCAAGCCACATCATATTTTTTATTATTAAATTATTCATTAATTTTATTATTTGAGTATTTAGGTTTTAATAAATTAAATCAAAAAATTAGTTGCAATTGCAAGTTAATTGCATTGATGTGGTGCAATACAAGTAAGATAAATTGGATTGAAAAAAAATAAAATAACAATAAAAAAAAACAAATGCAATTGCAAATGGCATTGCACCAATTCAGATGCTCTAACAAAACACGGGAAGTTGAGAAAATGTTATCCACCAAACTACTGTGCAGGGGACATACAATTCATCCACGGACGGTGAGAAAGTAAAGACCAAGTACAATCGAAATCCCCATCCCCGGTATCACTCAATTGAAGAGGCCACGGATAGCCACTACAATCCCCACCTCCAACCCAAGAAACAAAACCGCTGAAACAAAGAACAGCACACAAATGATCGCCACCACCAATAGGCTATCATACACCCAGATAGCCATCCACGTCCAATTTGCAGGTCGCCCTTGGAAATAATCCGAAACCGTGACTGGATCTCGTGGTATCATCCGCTTCTTCGGAGTTTTCGTCATACCTTGAATGCTGGCGGCGGCAGAGGACGAGAAGTCGGTGCGAGGATACTTGTTGCTGAGGTTGCGGTCAAGAATCCCCCAAATCTGAGTCCCCTGCTCGGTCTCGGCGTCGATTAAGTGCTCCAAGTAGACCTGCTTCATCACTTGATTCCTCTCCGGCGTCACTTTAAGATGTGCAACGAGGGAGCTGAGGTACGCCTCAGCATTGGCCCGAGTGGCGTCCGGATCGGCGCTGCCGTCTTCGCCCACGGCGGAGCTTGGCCAGCCAGCTGCGGCCACCACCAGAGGCATATCTTCGTAGCCAAAAATCTCCAACGAATTAGCCACAGCATCCACCATTAAATCGAACATGTTATGATACGTCAATCCGGTGCTAAAATCACGATAGAAGCTCTGTTCTCCTCCCTGAAACAGAGAAAATCCCAGCGGGATCTGCGAGTACATCCGGCTGACCTTGTACGGGGACAGATCCACCAACAATACCGAACTGTGATCTTCCAAGAACTGGAGCAGCGGCCGGATCACCTGTTCTCCCATCGGCTCTCGGAAAGTGGCCAGAGACGGTGGGATTATGCCGGTGACGACGTCGAGGAAAGAGAGAGTCGCCGTGACGGAGATGTCCTTGATCCCGAAATCTTGCAGCGCCAAGTCTACGTTACGGATCGCCGGCAATAGTAGTTCCGATTGCAAGATGGGGACGGTGCCGTCTCCGACGGAGATTACGGCGATCGTGGAGCGCGGGTAGAAAGGGAGCACGTGGACTCGAAGCCAGTCGTCGGCCACAGAGCGACTGGATGCCAGCGGGATGAGCAGCTCGTTCTCGATTGAGATGAGCAGGGAGACATTGGTGAAGGCTAGGGCTCGGATGATGCCGGGATCTGGATGGGAGAGACGCAATGCGCGGAATCCGAGGGTGGATACAGCGTAGGCGATGGCCTCGGGATGAGAAAGCTGCGGTGGAGGAGGAAGCACGGAAGTATTGCCGTCGATTGAGGAGGACGGAGGCCAGGTGAGAGGAGAAACGCCGACGAAGGAGGCGGAGGAGGATGGAAGCGAGGTGATGGGACAAACGCCGATCACGGCGGCGGAGGAAGATGGAGGCGTGAGAGGAGAAGTGTACGTGACGCCGAGGATGGTGGCGGAGGTTGTAGCCGTGAGGAGGAAAAGAAAGCAAAATGCGTGAAAGGAAAGCTTGAGCAGCAGAGTATCCATGGCGGTTCTTGGTTTCTGTGAGAAAGGACAGTTTGTTATGCGCAGCTGGGGACGACGCTTACAGCGTGTTTTTATAAGCTGGAACGGAGGATGCGCTGAGCCGTTCGATTTCCTCTTCATCAATGTCAAACAGCCGTTCGATCTGATGATGACGTCAGCATCACGGCTAGGAGTGGGCGGGAAACAGAGAGAGAGAGAGAGAGAGAATAGAGAGGTGGACAGCCGGCAAGAAGGGAAGACTAGAGTCCAGACTTCGCGACTTGCTTTGATTTTGAAAGCGGGATTTCTTTGTTCTTTGCATTTTCCTTTCAAGCATGGTCCATTAAACCGTATTGTACCGACGGTTCAACCACAAAATATCAGTGTCAGAGGCTAAACCGATAGACGGTATTTAACGGTACTAACGGTTGAACTCTAGTTAAACCACGGTACCCTACCGCTAACTTTTCCGGTACGGTTTCATGGACCATGCTTTCAAGCCGTTTTGATTATAAACATTTCTTTGTTCCAACTTCCAAGTCGTTTTGAATTTTGATTATAATCAAGCCTGTCAACCTGATTTGGTCCGTTGTCCCGATCAAATTAGTGATTCAAAGGTTGATAGGTCGGTCATTTAGTTGAGTTTAGTCCGCTTTAGTCCAGATAGATAAAAAACAATTATGTTACATACACATATAAATTCAAATTGTATCAAATTCAACTAACGTATAGATAATATGTATACCAAATTTTTTATAGAAATAATAATGCATAACATTAAACCAAAATATTGATTCATACTTAAACCCACCCCACTATAGTAAAAATTCAACAACAAATCAAATCCAACATAATAAAAATTCAACAACAAATCAAATCCAACATAAATAAAAATTCAATTACTCTTTTGGGAGAATAACTACTAACTCATGTTTTTACCAAGACAACAATTACTAATTCAATTGCACTATTAATTCCTATGACCTAACTAATATATATTCTCGGAGAAAAAACTCATAAGTTTATAAAATTAATACCTTGTTTCATTAAAAAGAATTGAATAAATTTTCATTAAAAAACATCCATTTTTTATCATCTTCCTCTATTCTTGTTTTATCCGCTCCATTCAAACCTTCACATTTTTTTCCAATGCAATTCTTCTTCTTTTGTTGTCGTCGTCGATCCAATTAACCCTTCAAATTATGTCCCGCATTCCCTAGCCTCCTTAATCGCTTCGAATCCCCTTAACAACCTTACATGGTTGCCTTTGTTCCTTTGACACGATAACATCGATCGAAATGGATCGGATAGCGCTTTTTGGAGTCGTCGTTGTTGGATTCGGTAGATAGCCACCCAGATCTATTAACCATTCAATCCAATGACGAATCGAAGAATAAAAAAGTATCAACCGACAGATATATCCGTAAATTAACAACAATGGTTAGCACTCTAACTTATCCCTCACAACCCACATCCATTAGCCAAGGCCATTGATAAAAGTACAGAAAGGAACATATAGAGAAAGAGTGAAAGGGTTGCCCCTTCCTTATCATCCTCTGCTAAAATTGAATTAAAATCACTAATTATTAAAATATGCACCGCTAATGGCAAAGAAAACTGAGTTAGACGATCAAATTGAGCACTCTTAGACTGGCTCCAACCCAAGGAGCTAAAAAGCTATAATGTCATATTTGGCTCTTTTTCTTCCTCCAACCCACAAAAAAAAAAAAAAAAGAGGAGCTAAATATTGGTATTTGATATTTAGGAGCTAAATTTGGCTGGATTTTGGGAAGGGAAGTCATATTTGGCTGGGCAAAAGTGGGGGCCTTGCGGCGGGACCGCCCCTTACTTTTCTTTTTCTTATTTTCTTCTTCAATTTTTGATTGGTTGGCTGGCAAAAGTGAGGCCCTGCGGCGGGACCACCCCTTCCTTTTCTTTTCCTTCTTTTCTTCTCCAATTTCAATTGTTTGGTTTTTTTTTTCTTCTCCAACCATTTGAATGAGAAATAAATAAGTAATGACGAAATAACGACTAATTATCTGAACTTTTGTTTTTTTTCGGAATTAAAAAAAAGTTACATCAAAAAATTTATTTTCAAAAGTAATAACTAACTATTAAAAATTTATAAGTGAAATATAAAAATTAGACCCAAATAAGTGTGGTTTATTGAAATAAATTGAAAAAAAGGTGGGAAGCTAAATTTAGCTTTTTGTAGGGTTGGAGTGAAAATGGAATTTGGGGAGCTAAAAAGTCATATTTGACTATTTGAGAGCCAAATTTTGGATTTTATGGGTTGGAGTTAGTCTTAGTCTTTATATGTAACAACCCGATCTGCTGGAGTGATGACGTGTGTAGATTGACAAGTATAAATAGCTAAAGCTGTTAGGCGAGGGGTATCTTTGGCCACTTGTGGAAACTGCTAGTTACTTTCCCTTTCTTTGCATTAGCTGTACTCCATAGAAACCAGTCTTCTCTTCTTCAGTACTTCCCTGTAAATCCTCCATTTTCCAGTGTTCATATCTTTCGCCAGATTCATCAATAAACGATCCTTATAAGTGGTACCAGAAGCCTATAATCTGGCAATGGCGACCCACACTACACAAATCATTGTTTTGGAAAATCAAATGACGACAATCATTTAGAAGATGGACTCACGACACCGGGATCTGTAGGTCGACATTGCGGCTCTTACAGCTTTAACGAAGGCCAACATTGACACTCTTACTGCTTCGTTGGAGTGACGACGAGACGATTCTCCGGTCCGTTCTCCATGGCACGCGAATCACAATAAGTTCCCGATCCATAGTAGTTCAGTCTGCCACCGCGTCGGCCGTCGATTCTAGGGGTGTTCAAACGGTGTGGTTACCGTGGTAACCTTTTTAACCGGTAGTATTTGTCTAATTTGGTTTGGTTAATTTGGATAATTGGTTTGGTTTGGTTAAAAAATTAGCTTGTTTGGTTTCGGTGGTTTGGTTTGGTTTGGTTTCAGACACTCCTAACCAATCAAACCAAGTTAACCAATTAAGCAATTATTTATGTATCTAATATATATTATATACACATACTTAATACTTAGTATAACCACTCTAGAGCTAAACATTCATTCCTTTTAGGCTCATCAACAATTAAGTGCAATATTGTTCTATGCTTAATTACTATATATATATTTGTACTTCTAGAGTGTAGACCATGATATATGAATGCCCAATTTAGATAAAAACTCATACAATATATTAGATGAAAACTTAAAAGGAAGGTCCTTTTGAACCTATGATAATTGCTAAGAAATTAATTCAATTCACACAATCACAACAATTAGTTAACTCCATACTATTGACATATATTTTTGTTAGGTGAATACTTCTATTTATTGTAAGATAATTGTATTAGTTACATGTATTTCTGTAAGGGTTAACTATAACTATGTGTTTATTGCAATGTTTTATTCATCATATAAATTGTGAATTGATCCATTGATCGAAAATTTTCTCACTAAATGATAATGTGATGTTATATTGGTTAATCTGGTTAACCAATTAACCAAACCGATTAAACTTTAGTTTGGTTAATTTGGTTGTTGTATTAGTTTAGACGGTTTGGTTATGATATTGTATTTCATGGTTAATAGAATTTTACCTTGCTTGGTTTGGTAATTACCATGGTGACCAATTGAGCACCCCTAGTTGATTCTGAATCGTCATGTGTGGGGTCCTTCTTCCACCTTCTTCGAGCAATCTGACTCGACCGCCGACCCCCAGGTTTCTTGTCCAACCTTCGATTGGGTTTCTCCCCTTTCCACACCAAGACTGAAAAACCTTAATTCCTTATGTTGCTTCTTCTCTGGGAAATCAAACCCCAATTTTTCTTCTCAAGAACCACCGCCGATAGTGTTGCCTTCTTTCCTACCATCTTTAGCTTAGCTGCCTTCTGATTCGTCCATTGCCAACTCCTCAAAGGCTGACTGAAAGGCATGATTTATTGATTAATTGCTTAATTTAATTACATGAGTTCTACTCTATTTACAGTAAGAGCAACTAAGAAAGCTGGAAAGATATGAAAAATATAATAAAACATTATCTATCTTATCTAGCTATTAATGGGATATGGGTTCTGATAATGTTGATGCAGTTGTTGGTGATTGCAGTAGGTGATTGATGATGATAGCTGGAACACATGGGAGTTTGGGACAGCATGGGCTGTTGCTGGATTCTATGGGCATATATGATATTCAACACTCCCCCTCATGCGTAGACATGAATGGCAAGAATGTCAAGCTTGAAAAGAAAATGTGAAGAACGGTAAAGGGGACAATCATGTTTGGATCGTCACTGTCTTTTGAACATCTTGGACGAGGTTGATGTTGGAGGCCACTTAAGGCATCTCTTTGAACAACCTGATGGATATGTTAATATAAATCAACTCACTGGCTTGGGTTTGCGCCACTTACGGTCTCATACCTTTCAGTCTTACTTCCCCACCAGTTGTTGCTCAGTTGCCTACTGCTACATCAGCTACTGTATATCCAATCAATTCTTGTGCTTATCCCCTGTTGGTTCGTCGACTTCTGAATCCTCAATTTCGTTGGATATCTTCCCTTTCCTAGGATTTTCTTCTCTTGAAGTCCCTACGTCTTCTCATGAATCCGTTCCCTAAGCCTTCTCCTGGACTGCTTCCCGTCGTTGCCGAATTAGTCTCCTTACCCATATGACTGGGCCATGTTTGTTTCCTTTGTTGCGCATCACCATTAGAAGTTGCAAACCATTGACATGGTTATTAGTGACTCAAATGATAATTACAACTTCAAAACTTCTATTGATGGTGGGTTCACTCATGAACACTTAGCAAAGGTTACACGGTATTTTGGGTTTTAGATTTTTCCAACATATTATGGGCTTCGCCTGAGTTCTCATAAGAGGTGCACTTGGGCGGATTTCAAAGGCCCTTATAAAGATTGCGATTATCGATCAATTGCTTGTATGTCTCGACCTTGGGATGTCACTATGAACTCAAGGGAGGCCTCAAATTGTGGTGTTGTAACCTGTCTGTGTCACTCTTGGGTTTGTAATGGTGAGGCCATGTTCGTAGCTTGAAAGGACCCTACAAAGCTTGGCTTTCCAAAGCGTTGGTGTTCAAGCAGTTTTTGGGTTTAATTAGGAGCCTGGCGACAGAATCTGGACAGGTTGGTAGCAAGTGTGGTTGTGTTGTTTAGCTGGGGTGCAAGTTGCTGCAGCTACTTGTCCTTGTTAGCAAATTAGAGAGCATTCTTGTTTGTCTACAGCTCCATATTGGGCAAGCAAAGGTCTTTGTTGTGGTTCAATACTCCTCTCGAGGGGCATCTGCAGATTTGGGACATGTTTGTCATTATCTCCTGTTAATGCTACCTGGGAAGACTTGCTCTTCTTCAAGGCGCAGTACGCTACTTTTCCATCTTGAACACAACTTGAGGACAAGTCATCTCTGAAGGGAGAGAGTTTATAACAACCTGACCTACTGGCATGATGATGTGTGTAGATACTAGATATATAAGTATCAATAGCTACAGCTATTAGGCGAAAAGTATCTTTGGCCAATTGTATAAACTGCTAGTTACTTTCCCTTTCTTCGTGTTAGCTGTAGTCTATAGAAACCAAGCTTCTCTTCTTGAGTACTTCCTTATAAATCCTCCATGTCCCCATTGTTCATCTCTTTCGCTAGATTCATCAATAAACGATCTGTACATTATAATACTATCTTCAATCTTTTTTTTCTTTTTTTCATAAAAACCCTTGCGGATTAACTAGGTAAGCACGAGAAAGCCACAATACAACGGCTCCTTCGTGAAATGATAGTCAAAGCAAATAAGAACAATTAAAACGAACACTACAAGAGCCAGAGTAGCATAAGGCATTATGTGCCACAACATGGGCAGCCCGATTTGCTTCTCTAGGAGTAAAAGCAACAGAAACCAGTGGCAATTCTTGCAACATAAAGATGACTTCTCGTAAGATAACCCCCACAAGGGCATCATTGGCATCAGAAGCCTTCAAATGTTGCACAACCGCAAGAGCATCACTCGTAATCACAATCGGTCGATCCTGCCACTAGGGGTGGGCATTGGGTGGGTCGGGTGGATTTTGACCATAAAATGCACCCACCCGCGCTTAAACGGATTGATAATTTTTAACCCACCACCCACCCACATTTAGTCTCGGGTTGGGTCGGGCGGATGGTGGATGATGCGGGTGGGTTTGTGGGTTCACCCACATCACAATTTATATAATATAAAGGAGTCAACTTGACATGATAATAGGTGAAGAGAATCATCGAGGGAAACCAGAAGTTGAAATAGGGCGAAAAATGTCGAATTAGTTCTTAAATTGTATAGAAATTCTATTATGAAAGAGTTTTCTACAGATTGAGACGATTATTAGGTGCAAGGAACTAAGGAAAATAATTCCACAAAGGAAAGAGCGTTGATCTAGGCACAAGAATTAGAGGAAAAAGTAAAGGGAAGAAGAGGGGATCTCTATTTGGAAGGTTGGCTTTGAGGTTCAAACTCCAGGACCAGTCCGAGTTTATATCTAACGTCTCCACTCTCCTCTCTTTAGCGCCAACGACTTTGTTTTTTTTTTTTTTTTTGATGTTGTGTTGAGCGGGTCACCCGCACACTCACCCACAACCCACCCACCACCCGGCGGATGGCTCCCAGCACAACCCACCCACCACCCGCCCGCATGCCCAGCCCTACCTGCCACTGCCATTGTCGAAGTAGTAATATAGCTTCTCTAATTGCCAACACCTCCATGATCTTAGGATGAAAAATGCCTGGAAAGAAACCACCCATTGCAAAAACTGGCACATTCTCCAAACCCACCACGCCAATTGCGCCATGAGTTGGAGCACTTGTCGCCCCATCAACTGCAATGCGAAAAGTAGAATGCAACGTCGAACGAGGATAAGGTTGAGGTCCGGGTGGCGGTGACTGATTGGGTAGGATGGCAATTTGATGAGTGGCATGATGAGATAATAGGTGACGGTACAAGGCAGCAGTGGTAAATTGTGCATAGGGTGGAAAGACAACATTATTCCGCCCTTTCCAAATCCGCCAAAAAAAGAGGACCCAATTTATTACGGTGGCATGATCGGAGAGAATGATGTGTCTTAAAAAGATGGACAAAACAAAACAATCGTCCAGGCCTTAAAATAATGGTGTATGGGTTTCTTAGTTAGCTATAACGAATACAAGCCTATCGCTTTAGCAGGCCTTTATTATAATTTTGATTGTGGGCTTCGTCTGTATTTTAAGCCCATAAGAGGAGTAAAAAAGTAGCAATTGTCTCCTCCTTAACTTCATCTTCTTCCTCCAGCCATCTATTCGTCCTCTTTCCCATCTCTGTAAAATGTAAATAGGACGCCTAGAATCGAACTTCATTTTTCCCGCCCAATTCCCCTGCACTTTCTACCGCTCACCACACAATCGCTCTGCTCACACGTCATAACAAACTCTCTCTCTCTCTCTCTCTCTCTCTCTCTCTCTCTTCACAGTGCAAACCAAGAACCGCCATGGATGCTCTGCTGAAGCTCCCTTCCCGAGCTTTTTTCCTTCCGCTCCTCCTCCTCTCCCTTTCACCAATCCTGTCTGCTCCGAGTACTGCCTCCTCCGCCGTCATCGGCGTCACATACAGGTCACCTCTCCCCTCGCCACCGTCCTCAACCGGCGGGAACTCTTCGCTCCCGACTCCTCCGCTGCAGCCAGAGGCCATCGCGTACGCCGCATCCGCTCTCGGATTCGGCGCGGTCCGACTCCCGTTCCCGGATCCGGACCTCATCAGAGCCTTGGCCTTCACCAACGCGTCCCTCTTCCTCTCAATTCCAAACAGCCTCCTCCCTTCGCTAGCTTCCAATCGCAGCCTCGGCGTCCACTGGATCCGCGTGCACGTCCTCCCTTTCTATCCTCGATCAAGGATTTCCATCATCTCCGTCGGCGATGCTGCCTCCCAGTTGGAGCTACTGCTGCCGGCCATCCGCAACGTGCACTTGGCGCTGCAAGATTTAGGGATCAAAGATATCCCGGTCTCAACAACTTTCTCCTTTCTCGAAGTCGTTACCAGGCCAGTCCCGCCGTCTCTTGCCGCTTTCCGAGAGCCGATGGGCGAGCAATTGATTTCCAGATGCCTCGGCACTTCGCTCTGTTCCAGGGAGGAGGAGGAGGAGGAGAAAGTTTCGATTACAATTACGGCGCGGAATTGGAATACCACTGTTTGTTCGAGATGATGTTGGATGCCATTTACAATTCCTTGAAGAAGGCAGGGCATGAGAGCATGGCCGTGGTAGTCGCCGGCGCAGGCTGGCCAAGCTCCGCCGTGGACGAAGACGGCATCGCCGAGTCGGACGCCAACACGGCATATGCGCAGGTCTATTTGAAGTCGCTGATCGCATTTTCCAGTTCTGATAAACGAAGGGGTGGCTGTAACTTGGATGAGGTTTACATCGATGAATTAATGGATGCTCAGTTGGAGTCCAAGCAGAAGCTGCAGCGGGGAACTCAACTGTGGGGTATACTCGACTCAAATTTGAGTAGCAAGTAGAGTGTTTTCGGGTCACCATTCGATAATGTCAACCCTTATCCGCCGTCAGATGAAGACGTGGGCGAAGGACCGTGGTTTGCTGGCTTCTGGAAGCTTGGTTGCTTAGTTTTGATATATGTGCTTGTCAGGAAGCAACTCGTCGTCTGTGTTCGTGTGATTGAACCTGATAGGCTGGGGAGGTGGATTGTTTGGCAATTGGGTTGGGATCCTGTGCTTGGATGGCGGTTTGGTTGGGGCCGTCTACAGTTTGATGGGGGTCAGTAGATTTCGATGGTGATCAACCTGATAGGCTTGGGAGGTGGATTGTATGGCAATTTAGTTGGGATCCTCTGCTCGGATGGCAGTGGTCAGTAGATTTAGATGGTGATCAACAAGCAGCTTTTCATCTGCAAATCAACAGTTGGTTGGTTAATTCTTGCTGTTAGTAGATGATGGTGTGCTTGGATGGCAGTGGTCAGTAGATTTAGATGTGATCAACCATCAGCTTTTCATCTGTAATTGAGCTGTTCAATGGTTAATTCTTGTTGTTAGTAGATGATGGTGATCGAATCAGATTGTAGATCCCTCCTCTATCTTTCAAGTGAATAAATGGTGATGATGATCAAACTGTTCTTCTAGTGAGAGACTCTTTTTTGTTTCATCAGTAGGGCACATAAAAAGTCGGACTCTTTCTGGTGCAGGTTCTGAAAAAGGGTTCATATAGTAACATTGACTAGAAACACACCATATATCATGAGGTTGATCATCTAAAGCCCTATTGCATGCCTTCAACTGTCCACCATAAGCTCATAGTGCTGCTCATTTTCACTTTTATTTTTGCGGTTATAGATTGGTGGAGCTTGTTGTATTGCACAAGGAAGCAGCATTAGAAGAGTGGGTCGTGAAGAAATTAGGACGAGTATACTCGAGGTCCTTCCTGGTCTTTGCTCAAGCAGTAAGGGCTTCTTCCCCTTCCCAAACAACAATTTTAATTCGTTCTTCTTCCCTGTCCTTTTGGTCGCCATCGATTTGGAGGACAGAGAGATCAACACCACCGGCTGGAGCTCGACGATTGAGAGGACCCGCGTCTTGCGAAACGTCAGCGTCTCGGTGGTGAAAGAACCGCCCCCCCATAAGATACTTGGTAGAGACACGTCTGCTTCCTCGGATTGCAACCTGGGGAAGGCAGATCGGAGCGTAGCAAGGGATCCCGGTGTAGGAGGTGGACTTCTTGGGTCGATGGCTCAGTTTGTTTTTATTTTATTTTAAATTTTTTGTTAAAAAAAAATCATAAATAATCTGATGTGTCGTAACTGCCATGTATGTGCAAGTGCAACACAACAAATAGTCAACATTTATTATTTTGTAAACCGTTTTAACTTAACAATAAACATAAATAACACACAACTATCTGGACAGTTCAAACTAGGCCATTGTCTATTTTTTACCCAAATCTTTTTCCGATTCTTTTATTTTAACCAAACCTATTGAATTCCTAAAAATTATCCAAACGTTAACTCTCCATCAACTTTTCTGTTAGTAATGCTGACTAAGTATGACCATAATGAGTTGACTTCCTACGTGACGGTCAGAATACCATCATTTACTATTTTTAATAAAAAGATTATCAAAAAACAAAACAAAATCCCACCCCTCACGTGGACGAAATAAGTAACGGTAACAGAATAAATGCCCAGACTTTGATAAATTATAATACGTTTGGATAATAAATAGAATTTCTATAGGTTTGATTGAAATAAAAGAATCTGAAAAAGATTTGGTAAAAAATAGACATTGCCCAATTTATTAAATAGGTTGGAATACAAGTGACAGAGTTTGCTGATAAATTTGTTTGGTATTTATTTGGTCATTTTATTATTATGTATGTTAATATTTTCAAATCGGTAAAAATGGATAATGGGCTCCGATACCAGATGTACTGGCCCTCAGGGGAAATGGCTCTGGCCATCGGCCAAATTTCCCTAGCTTTCTCCTCAAAATAACTCGGCCCGTCATACCTGGCCCAACCCAAAAGCCCAAAGCGTATATTCTCTTCTCGACGCCGGTTATAGAACCAGTAGAATACGTAAAAGCTCACCCGCCGTCGCCGGCAATGTCGAACGCCACTGAAGCTCTCCATCGCAGGCTGGCAGAGTAATCGTACTCTCTCTTCTAGCTCCACATTTTTAAGTGCCGACAGTTATACGCGAATTAGGAAATCTGAGATCGCTCTCCAATCTTCTTTTCCGTCAGATTATCGGAGTCGTTACTCGCCCATCTCTCCGCTGCACCCTACGCACCACTTGAAGGTTCATCCATCTCTGTGAAATTCGTCCTCCAGTCTCTCCTCCCCAAATCCGCCGCCGGCGCCGCGGAATCGCAGCTCCGGGAATCAATCAGGAATTTCGTTCTGGCATCGGCCTTGCTCGCCGCGTCCAAATCCTCCGCTCACGAGTTGCTCTCATGGATTCCCCATCACCTCGCTGATGCTGCTACCGCCGCTTTTCGAGATATATCTGATTTGTATTGCCAGGGCGATGACTAGAGGTTGGTCGCGGAGTTGGCGCCGGAGGTTTTGCTGCTGTTGAAGGACATTATTAAGGAGAGTTCCATTGATAAAGGTACCGATGGAGATGAAGTCTCCGCCGCGTCGGCTAGGGCTCCGGTTGGTTTTGCTATTCTTGCTGCTTATCAGCTTAGATGGTTTGTTACTAAGGTTTGTTGCCATTTTCTTGTTTCCCTGGCACTGCGATTTGGAAATGTTTTGAGTCGAGTTCCGCTGCGAAATTACCTGTTTTTGGGGGATGATCAAATTTTGTTTGCTTGTTCCGTGTACTAGATTGATTATTCGAACTTGAGGAAGCTATGCAATTTCGTGATTCCATGTGCATTGACTGCTCTTGATCATTGGTCACCGGAGGTGAAGGCAAGTAGTTGTTTCACTTTCATAGTTTTTGTTCTTTCACTTTTGGTAATCAAATGAGGTGTGACATTTCGGTTCATCGGGATTCAGGGGCAAGGAATGATTTGCTTCATTCGTCTAGGGAAGAATGTGAATGCTGCCGAATTCGGTGTTTACCAGGATGTTGTTCTTGATGCTTGCTGCCATAATATTGCATCTGCTGATGAGATATGGCATCTTGTGGTGGAAATCTCTGTGCTTCTGGTGTCTAGCATCCGGCGAAGTAATCCGAGAAGCCACTGGTAGTCTTTACTCTTGTTCATACTCTCTTTCCTTAACCATCTCCACCCCTGCAATCAATTAGTAATTTCAAATGTTGGCTGAATTACTTCATTCAACGATTTCATACCATCTACATGACTACATCTCTTACCCCCTGGTTTTGGTCATCTTTTGTATTTCTCATTCCGGTACAAGAGGACTAGGCGAGATGCTTAGTCACCTGGAACGACAACCAAGAAATAAGGAACGTCGCGTTGCTTGGCTGACATTCGTAGGACCACTCTTCCAAAGCATTGGTCTTGTATATTTATTGGCTCATTTCAGGAGGCTTTTCCCACTTTTCTTCAAGTGGATACATGCTGATGATGATCAAACTGTTCTTCTGGTGGGAGACTCTTTTCTGCTACATCAGTTAGGGGTGTTCAAATGGTTATCATGGTTATTACCAAACCAAATAAGGGTAAATTTCATTAACCATGGAATACAATATCATAACCAAACCGTCCAAACTAATACAACAACCAAATTAACCAAACTAAAGTTTAATCGGTTTGGTTAATTGGTTAACCAGATTAACCAATATAAAATCATATTATCATTAAGTGAGAAATATTTCGGTTAATTTATCAATTTACAATTTATATAATGAATAAAACATAACAATCAACACATAGTTATAGTTGACCTTTCACATAAATACATGCAACTAAGACAATTATCTTACGGTTAGTATAGAAGTATTCACCAAACAAAAATTTATCACAATGGTATGAGTTAATGAATTGTTGTGCTTGTTTGAATTGACTCAGTCTTTGGAGCAATTTTCATAGGCTGAAAAGGACATTGTTTTCAAGTTTTCGTCCAGCATAATATATAAGATTTATCTAAATTAGACGTTCATATGTTGTGGTCTACACTCTACATATACAAATATACATTATAGGAACAATATCAAGCTTTATATTTTATGAGTCTAAAAGAATGAATGTTTAACTCTTGAGTGGTTATTCAAAGTATTAAGTATTTGTATATATTAGATATATGGCTAATTATTTATCTGTCTAATTTGGTTTGGCTGGTTAGGAGTGTCTGAAACCAAACCAAACCACCTAAACCAAACAAGGTAAAAACTTTAACCAAACCAAACCAATTATCCAAATTAACAAAACCAACTTATCCAAGTAGTACTAATTAAAATGGTTACCATGGTAACCACACCGTTTGAACACCCCTAACATCAGTAGAGAAATTCAATTATAGGATTCAAGGCTCATAAAAAGTCAGACTCTTTCTGGTGCAGGTTCTGAAACAGGTTCATACTTCATACAGTCTTGAACTTAACATGGATCAGAAACACACCATATACCATGAGGTTGATCATCTAAAACACTATTTAATGTCTTCCACTTAGAGGTGGCAATTGGATCGGATTCGTGGATTGGATTTGTGGATCAAATGGATTGGATCCAATGGATTGGTGAATTCATGGGTTGGATCAAATGGATTGGTGAATTGATCCATGAATCCAAATGACATCCAAGGCTTGGACCAAAATGTAATTTTTGAAAAGTTTAGGTACTAAAATGTCATGATGAAAAATTTTAGGTACCAAAATGTAATTTTCCAATGTTATTTTTCGTATAAAAATAAAATTTTAGGTACCAAAATGTAAAATATAAAAAATATAGGTATCAAATCGTAATTTGTCATTTGGATCTATGGATTGATCCATGAATCCACCAATCCAATTGGATTTGGATCAAATGAATTGAATTTAAATGGATTGGATTAGGTGGATAATTTGGTGGATGGATTGGATTGGATTCATGGATTTGGATACTAATTGCCACCTCTACTTCCACCGTCCTCTATAAGCTCATAGTGCTGAGCATTTTCACTTTTTTCGGTTTTAGATTGGTGGATGAGCTTGTTGTATTGCACAAGGAAGCTGCATTAAGAGTGGGTCGCGAAGAAATTAGGACGAGCATACTCGAGGTCCTGTTCTTGCTGAAGCAGGATAACACAAATATAGCAGCTGTGTGCTTCTCTTTAACTGAAATCTCCATCGACGAGGAGAGTTCCACCAGCAACACCTTGAAGAATGACAGCTCACTGAACTACCTGCAACTGCTAACTACCCGTTAAGTCGCCGGAGAATGGATTTGTTCTTCCTTCACCACAATGATTAAAGAGCGAGTAAATTCAAATGTTAGGCTGCATGTAATGCGATCATTCACCTTCTGTAGATTGAATGTACTACTTAATTACTTCATATAGACTGAACAGTGAAATCCTGAGTAGGTTTTTCCTCGTCAAGTTAATCAAAATGACAAATGTTCATAACAAACTCTGATTGTATGTAGGGGATGATTGAATTCTACAATCTTTCCTAAAAGAATAAAAAGAAAAAGAGAAAAATGATATTCTTCCTCTACAAAACCGACGCAGGGAGTAAATAGAGAGATAACTCAAAGTCTCGGATTGAGTACTTTGTTTTCTACTACCTCTTTTTTTGTTACTTTCATTTTCCATCTAAGCTAATCACCTGGAGTTGTTGCTGATACAAAGTGGAAACCCTAACCCTCCCCAGACTCCCTCCAGGCTTCCAAAGAAGAAAAATTTGTGTATTCCTTCCAGAGGCCAAAATAGTGATACAATCTTTTCACTGCACCATTGCTCCACTGACCAAACCTGCTCTCTGGAAAGGATTGATGCTGCTGCCGCTTACGTCGTGGTTTCTTGACAAAATAACAGAATACACAGTCGTCTTTCATTTCATCATCACTTGCTTCTTTTCTTTACTTCACTGTAGAGGATGACTCCAAAGACTGTTAGAGAGTAGCCAAGCATCCCCGTAACAGATACTGGGTTCTTGAAGATTAGAATCGAGACAACAACTGCAACGGCACCTTTTGCATTCCCCAAAACCTGCAAATACGGGCGTAAAAAGATTGTTATCTGGGTTTTGTAAGAGCCTTTAGTTCTGACCTAGTCTTAGTTGTTAAGTTAGAACTAGAGAAACAAAATGGTCGAGCCTAGGACAGACTTTGCATCAGATTAAGATCCAGCATCCTAAACTTTACAAGAGCCAAACTTTTTCTAGAATCAGTTATCTTCATAGTTCTTTCTTGGCCAAGCAAGAATACATAGCAATTGCATTTTGTTAATGTAGCTTAGGAGTTCATGGAATGCGGCATACCTGGAGTGTCAGAGCACTTGTATGTTTAGTGACCAAGAAGTTGGTCAAATTCACAAAGAACGCTAATACAGAGTTGGAGAATAGCAGCCACATGAACTTGGGATCATCTCTTGCGAGAGCCAGAGTAATACCAACCACATTCCCTTCCATTGTCAGGGTTGCAGGCAGCAAGAACACAACAGCAATTGGAGCCATATATAGGAGCAGATTCATGGAATTCAGCTTCTCCCTAGAGACATAAATAACAGAACCATTTTTCAGTATATAATCCTACTTTCAAACTTTCCATTTTCCAATATCCAATATCCAAATCATTTCGAAAGTACTTGTGCCACAAGAAAACCTTACCCCTCAGAAGAAAGCAATATACCCTGGAGGACTGACTTAAGAGCTCTTGCTGCTGTAGCAGCAATGCACATTATAAACCCAAAGAGATGGAAGCTTGGTTCACCCTATTGCAATAGGCACAAAAACGACATAGATCAGAACAAACCCAGATGCTAGAAACTCCATCTACATGTAAATAACAGAGAAAAGCAGTCCAGTTGAACGATTCAATTGGGTAGCCTGCAGAGCTGTTGAGCATTTGTCATCTCCAGAATCAACATTCAAAAAGCAATCATTTAGGAAGCAATGATGAACGCATAGCCATTTGTCAGAAAAAAGGGCTGGTTCAAAAGAAATTCACTGACAGAGTCCAATTTTAACCCCCGCCATTCAGCAATCAAATGATTAGAACACCAAAATCCATTGCAGAAACTCAGCCAGATAAAATCTAACCTCATACTGGAAAATTGAGAGAAATCGGGCCTTACCCCAGTGGCAATGATGACTCCAGTAACCACAGGAACCAAAGTCAGGTAAGTGAGCCAAGTCTCCCTCTTGAACGTCATCACATAAGCAAAAACGGCGGTGAAGAACGGGGTAGTGGCGCCGACAGCCTGATTAAACGACACTGGAAGGAAGCGGAGGGAGATGTTCCCAAACACCACCGACACGCAGAAGACCAAGCTCAAAGCTGAGATCTTGAAGAATTGGGTGCGGGATCGAATGGTCTGCAAGGGGACGACCTTCATCCAAACAATGGAGATGTAGCTGAAGAGACTGCAAGCCGTCATGTGGCACATGGTGAGGAAGATAGGGAACTTGAACTCGTAAATGCTGAGCAAGAACTTGTTCATCAGCAGGACCCCGATGTTGGAAGAGTACCAGCAGGCGACCAGGCCGATCGTGAACAGCAGTGTGGTCGCCGGCACCGTAATGTTCCCCTTCACCGACTTCTCCATCTCGCTTCAAGCTTTCCACCTATGGAGATCTGAGTGAATCGAGAGCCGTGGGGTTGGGGGATTGGGTTTTTCCCTTCTTCGCCCGGATTAGCCTGCAAAGAAGGGATGTTTTCAGTGGCGTGAAAGTTCCCTAGATTGCTATGATTCCTGACGCGCCATGGATCTGTGTCATAACAATGGAGGAAAAGGGGGTGGAAACAAAAACGAGCAAAAGGAGAGGGGAAATTCGACGGGCGGAGAGGGATAGGTGACGGAGAGAGAGAAGGAGAGAAGGGTGGTGGGAAAGAAGGAGAAATTGGTCAAATGGAAGGGACGTGCGACGGAGAAGGAAGAGGGGGGATTTTTGGGATTTAAGAGGGAGGGAATTCGACGGCGGCGGCGGAGGTAAATGAGGTGGCGGTGGTGCTAAAGCGCGTTGAAGAAGGGGGAAGAATTTTGGTTAACGTGGGGGCGTATTTCCTCCGGTTTCTGTTTCTTTCTTTTTCTGTAGGTTTATAATAAAATAAAATATAAAAAGAGAAAATTGGGGGATTTCTTTATTTTAATTAATGAATCAATTGGGGTAATTGGTTGTGTACTGGTTCAGGATGCTATTGAAATATTTTTTTTTACTCTTTTAGGTCCTTTATATTAATTTCGATTAAAATCTAGTCCTGTAAATTCAGAGAAATCCCATACAATACATCAATTGAATTTTAACCTATTATTTCTCGGATGTCCTCGAAGGGATGATGTTATTTTGATTTAAGTCAACTGTGAATTGGTATTTATCAAGATTCAACTTGGTTGTGCTTTCAAGGGCATAAATAAATAAAGGGCATAAATAAATAATTTTTCTTCGTTGAATATAGATTAAAGCCTTATACCTTAAATAAATGAAAAGGAAATTTAGAGATATAGCAAATTAAATGCTAATTAATAATGTGAAAAGTTTGTTATAAGAACCCCAACTTATTTCCGGAATTGGGGAAAAGGAATCACATCGTTGAAGTTGTAGCATTAACTGAAAGAATACCCAATCAAGGTGTTTATTTCTGCATTTGGTGTATGTATGTGTGGGCCTTTCTAATTGTAATGTAGACACCAAGGTTGTCAACCCGCGAGTTGACCCGGATCCGGTCGAGTTAGTGGGTCAAGAGTTAACGGGTCACCCATTTTAGTCTGGAAATATGGAAAGAGTTATTATATTGTACTTATCCTGATAAATCATATCAAATCTCATCTAACATATGAGTAATAACATATAAAATTACACCAAAATATCATGTCGTACTTAGATCCAGCATATAATGAAAATTCACACTTATATAACATCAACATTCAAATGTTCAACTAAGGATTCTAAATATTGAGTTAGGCGAAAAGAAAAATCGAAAAATATGTGCATTTCGCAAAGCAAAGAAAAAAATATCACAATTTGATCTCCAACTTGATAACTGTAGCGGTTGACCCAGCGGGTGCGTGCGGCCCGTTTTTCTCACCGGGTCAGGGTCAAAGTGGGTTTACCCGCAGGCTGACAAGGTAGACACCTTGTTATATATATTGTAGATTTGTAGTTGTTGAAATTTCTTGACCCTACATCCCAAATCATAAACAAAAGATAATAAAGAAATCCTTAAGCTCGTACGATGCCGATCAATCTGAGCCTGAAGGCCCAAATAAAGAGGTGGGTCCAAGTAAGTAGCCCATTTTCAAACGCCCAACAAACATCCACTGCCTTGAATCTTCAATAATTGCAGTACGATTCTACAAGTGGCGTCAATTGCTGCTGTCATGTTATGAATGAGATGAGAGTGCACCAAGTGGCAAACAAGTCATGAAGAAACAGTCAAGAATCAGTTCTGTAATGAAGCAAAGGTTTGCCCAGAAAAGGTATTATGCACTCCACGTTGCATCATAAAATGTAATAAAACAATATAACCATTCTTCAAGAATGGAAACCGTCAAATACATGAATGTTATCGAGAGCAGGAAGGAGCAGCAGCCGGATCATCGCATGCGACATATGGAAATGAATCAAAGTGCCTATCTTGATTACATTCAATGGCAGCATTGAACTGAAACAAATATACTTTTCAACACATTCGTCATCACAACTACCTATGGTGTTGACAATTCTGTTTTACAGTTCAATGTACAGATACTCAACCTTCAATGTACACCTGGAACTCTCAAGTAATACGGAACCAAACGACGAGTATAATCCAAACAACGATGATTTCTCAATCACATGGTACATGCCCGTATCGAATGATCATGAGGATCAAGGGAGTTTGCATACGAATGCAGGAAAATGGACAGCAGCTAAGCAGTGCAGACACACCATCAAGGAAAAGGCTCTGCACAAACTTGAACTGAATCCACACGTGTTTATAGCTTTGCAATGAAAGAGTTGTTTCTCCGTTCTCGTACGAAAAAACTCTACATTTACTTCTCAAGCTTCTTATGGATGCACGCTTATGGTGTGATCATACTTCAGGGTCAGCCACAATGAGATGCAAGATAGAACCCAGGGAAACCTACAAACTAATTACATCCTAAGGAATCAGAATCTGGAGCAGAAACCCTTTCAGCTGATTATCCAGCTCAAGGTGACTATGACAGGAGCACAAGAATAGCTAGAGGATTGTTGTAAATCAGACGAACTAAGCCAAGAATTTATAATAATAGCATATTAATAATGAAACACAGAGTTCAAAGGAGGATTTGATTACCCGAGCATTTAAACAAGAACATCTGATTGGGGATTACTGAAACTGGAATTGATGGAGGAAAATGGACTGCAGCTAAGCAGTGCAGACAGACCATCGAGGAAAAGGCTCTGCACAAACTTGAACTGAAATTACACCCCCCTTATTCTTAGGTGCAAACATGAATCAAAGTCAACACAATAGTGCTCCAATCTACACGTGTTTATAGCTTTGCAATGAAACAGTTGTTTCTCGTACGAAAAACCTCTACATTTACAGATTTACTTAAGTAACAAGGAACGAGCTATTTCTCTGTTCAGACAGAACAGAAAGATTAGGCCTGCTCTTACTCAGAGTGTTACTCTAAAGACCCAACATTAGAGCGACGAGGGGTATAGGCCGTGAATTACTTCTCGAGCTTTTCTATGGATGCACACTTATGGTATGATCATACTTCAGGGTCAGCCACAATGAGATGCAAGATAGAACCCAGGGAAACCTACAAACTAATTCGATCCTAGGAATCAGAATTTAGAGCAGAAACCCTTTTATCTATGAGCCTAGTCATGTCAATCTGTAGATTATCAAGCTCAAAGCCACCATGACAGGCACAATAATACTAGAGGATTGTTATAGAAAAAACAAACAATTCAGACGAACTAAGCCAAGAATTTATAATAATAATAATAATAATAATAATAATAATAATAATAGCATATAAATAATGAAACACAGAGTTCAAAGGAGGATTTGATTACTTGAGCATTCGAACAAGAACATCTGATTGGGGATTTACTGAAACTGGAATTGATGGAAATGGTGTACAACGTATATCCACCATGCTAAACAGAACAAAACTGTCTCTAACAAAAAGAGAAAGGCACAAGACAAATCAAAGCTAAACTTGGATGAAAGAACCCAAGTACACAGCAGTTTCCTCTGAGACAAGCCTGCTTCTTCAAAACCTGAGGAACAGCAACAACATAAAAAATACTTCAGACAACAGGGTACAAGGAAATCAGGTATGCATCCAAGTGCAACTTAAGCAGCCATTTCCAAGGCAAGTTAAAACAACTACAGTATTGACAACTGCGACTCAGTGAGACAACCACTTCACTGAACATAGCCTCACAGTTGATAGCAGAGTTACTCTTGCAATAACAATTCAGACGACACAGTTACATATCTGAATTCCACATTATACTAAACAACTTAATCCCGACATTGACAATTGAAAGTACCTTAGATATTGCTGGGGTACATGAAGACTCTTACTCTGTCTCCCTGCAAAATTAGCCAAAACTTCGGTAAGCCATAAAAACTAAGCAAACATGGAAACTCGAAACACTGAAAAATGTAGCACTTGATGTACCATGGACTTGGGAGGGAGGTTGGACGTGAACTTTGCTCTAACGACACCACTGTTTCCATGAGACCGTGATACCTTGCCCCAAATGCAGCGATAGTGCGAACCATCCTTCTTCACCTTAGCCTTGTAGATATAAGCCAAGCGCTTTCCCGCGTACCATGCTACCTCTTCCTTGGTATTCACTCCCTCAATCTGAATCAGAGAAGTGTTGGGGTACTGGTTTGCCTTGGACCTAATTATCACAAACAAAATCAAAACTCAATCTCTCGACACAAGCAAAATAAACCCTAGAAAGATTTCCACCATTACTGAAACCTACACTAGGTAATCAAATTCATCATACAAGATATCAAAGATCTGTAAGACCATTCTTTAGAAACCCATTTCCTGACATCTAACAGGACAGTAATAGAGAAATAGGAGAATCAATCAAGGGACAAGTCTCATTACCTCTTGTACCCTAGGATAGTTCCTCGGACGTAGAGTCTGCAAAGAAGCAACGGGTTCAAATAAGAAAAAATTAGCTTCGATTCACCACTCTCTCCGTTAACGAACTACGTTAAACTCCGAGCTGGAGAAAACAGTTTACTGTGCGGTCTGCGATCGCAACCGGAATTGGAGATATCTATCGGTAAAGGATCTTGAAGTAACAGAGGGAAGAACGGGAAGCCCAATACCTGACGCGCTCTCCTTCGCGACCTTTCACCATTTTCGTGGGTTGGAGGCGGAGCTTCTCCCTTTTCCCGGTTGTTGCAGAGGTGGCTAGAGTGACGAGCTATGCTGCGGGAGAAGGCTTCCTAAAACCCTAACCAGAGTCTTACTTCATTTAAAGAGAGAACGCTGGTCAGACCTCCGTCCTAACTCCTAACCATTAGGCCCATCAAAAGAAAGCCCAGTTTTTTCAGCCCGACAATGCATAGATTATTATCTCCGGAAATATCATGGGCCTCAATTGAGCACTCATTCTCGGCCCATTCGGAATGCAGATACAATCATACAAGTAATTGCCCTTTGGTTTAATAGACTCGCGTATGTGGATTACAATTTACAAGGGATCCAATACAAACGACTAGGGGTTCAACCGGATTGGTTATCGTGGTAACCATATTAATCAGTAGTATTCGGTTAATTTAGTTTGGTTAATTGAGATAATTGGTTTGGTTAAAACAATTTAACTTATTTGGTGTTGGTAGTTTGGTTTGGTTTCCACGCTGCTAACTCATGAAACCAATTAATGATAGACCTAATATACATAATTATTTATACTTCCATGCAACCAACCAAACCAAACTTTCGTGATTCCCTATTTTATTTTCATGTGCACAACAAACCAAAATATTATGGG